CCAACATCTATAATAACAATTATATCTAATAACAATAACATCTCTCACAGACCCCGGTACGAAGGTGTTCAACTACTACGTGCCAGACACCAACATCTATAATAACAATTATATCTAATAACAATAACATCTCTCACAGACCCCGGTACGAAGGTGTTCAACTACTACGTGCCAGACACCAACATCATGCAGGAGGACGATGCGGTGTCTAACCCGTCGTCGAGCCGAGGCAGCTCCCCGACGGGCCTGCGTCCGGGCAGCCCGCCGCTAACCTTCCCCCGCTCTACGACGCCGACCGCACAGATGAGCAGCGCCAAGCTGTCAATCACCACGACGAAGGTCTGCTCGCAGAAACTACACCTGCCCAGGAACGTCGAGGTGAGATGTGTGTGATTAATTATGCGTGTAATTAACGTGATTAACGGCGCATTTAATTCATGCGTCGCTGTTCTTTTTACTAATGTTTTATATTCCTCCCTCCCAGGCACGAGTGCAAGTGCTTGAGCAGGTCTAATTCACACGTCGTGGTTTTTTGCTAGTGTTTTTTGCTAGTCTTTTCCCTGTTGTTTACTAATGTTTTATATTCCTCCCTCCCAGGCACGAGTGCAAGTGCTTGAGCAGGTCTAATTCACACGTCGTGGTTTTTTGCTAGTGTTTTATTGTCTTTTTCCTGTTGTTACTAATCTTCCTCCTGCGGAAACGCGCAGGTGCTTAAGAGAGATCTAATTTACACATCATGGTTTTTTGTTAATGGTAATAGCTCTATTGCTAATGTTGCCGGTTTGCTAATGTTTTATCTTCCCCCCCTCCCACGCACGCGTGCAGGTGCTAGACGCAATGATAGACTATAGACCCGCGTGTCAATTCACACGTGGTGGATTATTGCTAATGTTTTCTATCTTCCCTCCCCTCCCACGCACGCGTGCAGGTGCTAGACGCGACGGCTGCTGCGGGTCACCTCAGCTCCTCCTCCATCTACCCTGCCTGCTTCGCTCCCTACCTCGTCACCATCGCGTGCTCCGACGGCACCGTCAGATTCCTCAAGTGTGAGATGGGCTTCACCGCGGGGGACGACGTTGCCGCGGCGACGGCCGAGCAGCCGAGCTTCGAGTGGAAGGAGTGGGACATGATGACGAGCACCTCAGCTTCCAGCGAGATTTACCTAGCAGGTGAGCGTGAGCGTAAACAAACACTTACAATAATTAAAACTTACAAACGTAGTACGTAGAAACTTACAACTAACGATAAAGTAAGTAACAAGATGGGTTCTATGAGGATAAACATAAGCAGTAGGTTTGACTGTGTGACGTCTATCTAGCCGGTGACTACAAACATGTTCCAAACAAAACAACATAATACATAAACACCATAACCACGTTAAAGCGATAGCATGTCGTTGCGCGATGTCAGCCCCTCGCGGTGCGCTGCGCCTACAGTAAACAACAAACATACGTAACAGTAAACAATAACAACGTTACGTAGCATGTCGTTGCGGGTCAGCCCCTCGCGGTGCGCTGCGCCTACAGTAAACAACAAACATACGCTAAACAGTAAACATATAACAACGTTAACGTAGCATGTCGTTGCAGTCAGCCCGCTCGGCGGTGCGCTTGCGCCTACAGTAAAGCAAAACCAAAACATACATAACAAAACAATAACAACGTTACGTAGCATGTTCGTTGGCAGGTCAGCCCCTCGCGGTTGCGCTGCGGCCTACAGTAACACACAAACATACATAACAGTAAACTAATAACAACGTTAGCGTAGGGCATGTCCTTGCAGGTCAGCCTTCCTCGGCGGTGGGCTGCGCCTACAGAACAACAAAGCATACATAACAGAGTAAACAATAACAACGTTAACGTAGCATGTGCAGGCCTTCGCGGTTGCGCTGCGCCTACAGTAAACACAGAAACATACATACAGTAAAACAATAACATGTTACGTAGCATGTCGTTGCAGGTGCGGCCCCTCGCGCGGTGCACTGCGCCTACAGTAAAACAACAACACATAGATAACAGTAAACCACTAACAACGTTAGTAGCACTTTCGTTGGCAGGTCAGCCCTCGCGGTGGCTGCGGCCTACAGTAAATCAACAAACATAGATAACAGTAAACAATAACAACGTTACGTAGCATGTCGTTGCAGGTCAGGCCCTGCTCATGTGCGCCTGCGCCTACAGTAAAACAACAAACATAGATAACAGGTAAACAATAACAACGTACGTACCGCATGTCGTTGCAGGTCAGCCAGCCTCGCTTGCGCTGGCCATACAGTAAACACAAACATTACGTAAACAGTAACAATAACAACGTTACGTAGCATGTCGTTGCAGGTCAGCCCCTCGCGGTGCGCTGCGCCTACAGTAAACAACAAACATACATAACAGTAAACAATAACAACGTTACGTAGCATGTCGTTGCAGGTCAGCCCCTCGCGGTGCGCTGCGCCTACAGTAAACAACAAACATACGCTAACAGTAACAATTAACAACGTTACGTAGCATGTCAGCCCCTGCGGCGGTGCGCGGTGCCGCCTACAGCTAAACACAAACATACGTAACAGTAAACATAACAACGTTACGTAGCATGTCGTTGCAGGTCGCCCCTCGGCGGTTGCGCTGGCGCCTACGCAGTTAAACAACAACATACGATAACAGTAAACAGATAACACGTTACGTAAGCATGTCCTTGCAGTCAGCCCCTCATGGTGCGCTGCGCCTACAGTAAACTAACAAACATACATAACAGCTAAACAATAACAACGTTCGTTAGCAAATGTCCTTGCAGGTCAGCCCCTCATGGTGCGCTGCGCTACAGGTAAACACCAAACACTACGTAACAGCAAACAATTAACAACGTTAGTAGCATGTGCCGTTGCAGGCAGCCTCGCGCCTGCCGCCGGCGCCTAACAGTAAACAACAAAACATACATAACAGTAAACAATAAGCCACGTTACGTAGCATGTCGTTTGCAGGTCAGCCCCTCGGCGGTGCGCTGCGCCACAGTAAAACAACAAACATACATAAACGTAAAACAATAACACGTTACAGTAAGCCATGTCGTTTGCAGGTCAGCCCCTCGCGCTGCCGCCTACAGTAAACAACAAACATACATAACAGTAAACAATAACGCACGCTTAGTAGCATGTCAGCCTCGCGGTGCGCTCCGCGCCTACAGTAAACAACAACATACATAACAGAAACAATAACAATGTTACGTAGCATGTTCGTTGCAGTCAGCCTCGCCGGTGGCGCCTTACAGTAAACAAACAACATACATAACAGTAAACAAAACAACGTTACGTTAGCATCGTCAGCCCCTCGGCGGTGTGGCTGCGGCCTACAGTAAACAACAAACATAACATAACAGTAAACAATAACAACGTTACGTAGCATGTCGTTGGGGCAGCGTCAGCCCCTCGCGGTGCGCCTGCGGCTACATAAACAACAAACATACGTAACAGTAACAATAACAACGGTTACGTAAGCCATGTCGTTGCCAGGTCAGCCCCTCGCGCGTGCGCTGCGCTACAGTAAACAACAAACATACATAACAGTAAACAATAACAACGTTACGTAGCATGTCGTTGCAGGTCAGCCCCTCGCGGTGCGCTGCGCCTACAGTAAACAACAAACATACATAACAGTAAACAATAACAACGTTACGTAGCATGTCAGCCCCTCGCGGATTGCGGCTGCGCTACAGTAAACAACAAACATACGTAACAGTAAACAATAACAACGTTACGTAGCATGTCAGCCCCTCGCGGTGCGCTGCGCCTACAGTAAACAACAAACATACATAACAGTAAACAATAACAACGTTACGTAGCATGTCGTTTGCAGGTAGCCCCTCAATGGTGCGCTGGCCCTACAGTAAACAACAAAACATACAAAACAGTATAACAATAACAACGTTACGTAAGCATGTCAGCCCCTCGCGTGCCGCTGCCGCTACAGTAAACAACAAACAGTACATACACAAGTAAACAATAACAACGTTACGTAAGCATGTCGTTGCAGGGTCAAACCTCGCCGGTGCGCTGCGCCCTACAGTAAACAACAAACATACATAAACAGTAAACAAAACAACGTTACGTAGCATGTCGTTAGGCGATGTCAAGCCCCTCGCGGCTGCGTGCGCCTACAGTAAACGAACAAAGCATACGTAAACAGTAAACAAGTAACAACCGTTACGTAGCATGTCGTTGCAGGTCAGCCCTCGCTGTGCGCTGCCGCGCTACAGTAACAACAAACATACATAAAGTAACAATAACAACGTTACGTAGCAGTCAGCCTCTGCGGTGCCGCCTGACGCCTATCAGTAAGACAACAAAACAAACATAACAGTAACAATAACAATGTTTACGTAGCATGTCGTTGCAGGTCAGCCCCTCGCGGTGCGCTGCGCCTACAGTAAACAACAAACATACGTAACAGTAACAATAACAAACTTACGTAGGCAGTCAGGCCCTCTCGCGGTGCGCTGCGCCTAACCAGTATAACAACAAAACATACATAACAGTAAAACCAATAACAACGTTACGTAGCATGTAGCCCCTCGCCGGTGTGCTGGCGCCTACAGTAAACAACAAACATAGCATAACAGTAAAATAACAACGTTTAGCGTAGGCAATGTCGTTTGCAGGTTCAGCCCCGTCGGCGGATGCGCTGCGCCTTACAGTAAACAACAAACATATCGTCAACAGTAAACAATAACAACGTTACGTAGCATGGTCGTTGCAGGTCAGCCCTCGGGTGCGCGCTCGCATATTACTAAACAACAAACATACATAACAGTAAAACAATACAACGTTACTAGCATGTCAGCCCACTCGCGGTGCGGCTGCGCCTACAGTAAACAACAAAACATACGTACATAAACAATAACAAACGTTACTAGCATGTCGTTTGCAGGTCAGCCCCTCGCGGCTGTCGCTGCGCCTACAGTAAAGACAACAAACATACGTAACAGTAAACAATAACAACGTTAGAAGACATGTCGTTGGCGTCAACCCTTCGCGTGTGCGCGCTGCGCCTACAGTAAACAACAAACATACATAACAGTAAACAATAACAACGCTTACGTAAGGCATGTCGTTGCAGCGTCAGCCCCGCGCGGTGCGCTGCGGCCTACAAGTAAACAACAAACATACCGTAACAGTAAAACAATAACAACGTTACGTAGCATGTCGCTTGCAGGTCCAGCCCCTCGCGGTGCGTGCTGCCCTACTAAGTAAACAACAAACAATACATTCAACCGTAACAATAACAACGTTACGTAGCAGGTCAGCCCTTCGCGTGTGGCGCTGCGCCTACAGTAACAACAAACATCGTAACAGTAAAACCAACTAACAACGTTTACGTAGCATGTCGTTGCAGTCAACCCCTCGCGGTGCGCTTGCGCCCTACAGTAAACAACAAACACATACATAACAGTTAAACAATGACAACGTTACGTAGCATGGTCGTTGTGCAGGTCAGCCCTCTCGTCGGTGGCGCTGCGCGCTACCAGTAAACAACAAACATACATAACAGTAAACAATAACAACGTTACGTAGCATGTCGTTGCAGGTCAACCCCTCACGGTGCGCTCGATAACGCTAACAACAAACAACATAACATATTAACAGATAACAACGTTTTACGTAGGCATGTCAGCCCCTCGCTGTTGTGCGCTGGCGCCTACCAGTAAAGCAACAAACATACATACAGTAAACAATAACAAGCGTTACGTATCGTCGCTTCGCAGGTCAGCCCCTCGCGGAGTGCGCTTGCCGCTACAGTAAACAACCAAACAGTATCATAACAGTAAACAATAACAGACGATTACGTAGCATTGTGCAGCCCCTCGGCGTCGCTGCGCCTACAGTAAACAAAAACATACATAACAGTAACACATAACAAGCGTTACGATAGCAATGTTCAGCCGCTCGTGCGCTGGCGCTGCGCCCCTAACCAGTAAACAACAAAACATACGTAACAGAAAACAATCAACAACTTTACGTAGCATGTCAGCTCCCTCCGGTGCGCTCCGGCCCTACCAGTCAAACAACAAACACTACGTAACAGTAAACAATACAAGCTTACGTAGCATGTCGTTTAGCAGGTCAACCCTCGCGGCTGCGCTTGCGCTACAGTAAACACACAACATACATAACAGTAAACAAGTAACAACGTTTACGTAGCATTCGTCACCCCTCGCGTGCGCATCCTACAGTAAACAACAAACATAGCGTAAACAGTAAACAATAACAACGTTACGTAAGCATGTCGTTGCAAGTGTCAACCCGTCGGCGGTGTGGCGGCTGCGGCCTACAGTAAACAACAAAAACATACATAACAGTAAACAATAACAACGGTTACGTAGGGCATGTGTTGCCATTTCAGCCCCTCGCGTGTGCCGGCTGCGCCTAGCAGTAAACAACAAACATACATAACAGTAAAACAATAACAACGTTACGTACATGTACTTGCAGGTCCAGGCCGCTCGCGGTTGCGCCTGCGGACCTACAGTAAACAAAACATACATCAACAGCTAAACAGATAACAACTCCTACGTAGCATGTACAGCACCTCGCGTCGCTTCCGCGCTGCGCCTCAGTAAACAACAAACATACATAACAGTAAACAATAACAACGTTACGTAGCATGTCGTTGCAGGCTCAGCCCCTCGCGGTGCGCTGCGCCTACAGTAATGACAACAAGACATACATAACAGTAAACAATAACAACGTTACGTACGCATGTCGTTGGCATGTCAGCCCCCTCGTCGCGGTGGCGCTGCGGCCTACACCGTACCACACACAAACATACCGTAACAGCTAAACCAATAACACACGTTCGTAGCATTGTCGTTGCAGGTCAGCCCCTCGCGGTCGCTGGCTGCGCTACAACAGCTAAAACAACAAACATACATTACACCGTAACAATAACAACGTTACGTGCATGTCGTTGCAGCGTCACCCCTCGGGCGTGCAGCTGCCGCCTACAGTAAACACAAACATACATTAAACAGTAAACATAAACAACGTACGTAGCATGTTCAGCCCTCGCGGTGCGCTGCGCTACAGCTAAACAACAAACATACATAACAGTAAACAATAAACACACGTTACGCTAGCATGCGTTGCAGGTCAAGCCCTCGCGGTGCGCCTACAGTTTAAAACAAACATACGTAACAGTAAACAATAACAACGTTACGTACATGTCGTAGGCATGTTCAGTCCCCCTCGCGGTGCCACTGCGCCTTACAGTTGAAACAACAACATACATAACAGTAAAACAATAACACGTTACGTAAGGCATGTCGTTGCAGGCCAGCCCCGCGCGGCGCTGCGCCTACAGTAAAGCAACAAACATAGATAACAGTAAACAATAAAAACGTTTACGTAGCATCGTCTTCACAGCCCTCACCGCGTGGCCTGGCGCCTACCAGTCAAACAACAAACATAAGCGTAACAGACAACAATAAACAACGTTACGTAGCATGTGGTTGCAGCGTCAGGCCCTCGCGTGCGCTGCCCGCCTAACAGTAAACAACAACATAGATAACAGTAAACAATAACAACAGTTACGTAGCATGTCCAAGCCCCTCTGCGGCCGCGTGCGCTAGCCCTACAGTAAAACAAAACACATACATTAACAGTAAACAATAACAACGTTCGTGGACATGTCGTTGCATGTCAGCCCCTCCGCGGTGCGCTGCGCTAGCAGTGTAGAGAGCGAGAGCAGAAGCAGTACATAACACGTAAACAATAACGCAAGTACGTAGCATGTCGTTGCAGGTCAGCCCCTCATTGGTTGCGCTGCGGCCTAACAGTAAAACACAACATACAGCTCAACAGTAAACAATAACAACGTTACGTAGCATGTCGTTGCAGGTCAGCCCCGCGTTCTGGCGCTGCCGGCCTACAGTAAACAAAAACGTACATAACGCAAGTAAACAAATAACAACGTTACGTAGCATGTCAGCCCCTTCGCGGTGCGCTGCCGCCGTACAGAAACAAACATAAACATACGATAACAGGTAACAATAACAACGTTACGTAGCACCCATAGTCCGTTGCAACGGTCAGGCCCCTCGCGCGCGGTGTACGCGCAGGCGCTTTTTACTAAACAAACAACAAACATAGATAAAGTAAAACAATACACACACTCTCACGTAGCGCATGTCGTTGCAGTCAGCCCCATCGCGCGTGCGCTGCGCGGGCTACAGTAAACAACACCACATACGTAACAGTAAACACATAACAACGTTACGTAGCGCATGTCGTTGCACGCTCAGCCCCTCGCGGTGCGCTGGCCGCCTACACGTAAACAACAAACAGTACATAACAGCTAAACATAAACGTTACGTCAGCATGTCGAGGCGAACCCATCGCGGTGCCTGCCCTTACAGTAAAGCAACAACAACATACATAACAGTAAAAAACGAAGTAACAAAACGTTACGTAGCATTCCGTTGCCAGTCAGCCCCTCGCGGTGCGCTGCCGCTACAGCTAAACAAACACAATAGATAACAGTAAAACAACTAAAAAGTTACGTAGCATGTCGTTGCAGGTCACCCTCTCGCGGTGCGCTGCCTACAAGTAAACAAACAAACATACTATAGCAGTAAACAAATAACAACGTTATCGTAGCAGGTCGTTTGCAGGTCAGCCCCTCGCGGTGCCTGCGCCACAGTAAAAACAAATGCTACTATACACATGTAAACAATAACACACGTACGTAGCATGTCGTTGCAGCCTGTGCAGCCCCTCGCGGCCTGCGCTGCGCCTACACAGTAAACAAACAACATACATAACAGTAAACCAATAAAACGTTAACGTAGCATGTCAGCCCTCGCGGTGCGCCTGCGCCTACAGTAAAACAACAAAATACATAACAGTAAACTAAAACAATCTACGTAGCATGTCGTTGCAGGTCAGCCCCGCTCCTTCAGCGGTGCGCTGCGCTACAGTAAACAACAAACATACGTAACCATAGTATAACTATAAACAACACGTCGTTGCAACGTAACATCTTATTGTTGCAGGCCAGCCTCTCGCCGTACGCTGCGCCTACAGCGGCCGCATCGCCTGCGCGTTCAAGATGAACGAAACCACGATCCCGGGTCCGTTGTCCGACGACGGCGTCGGTCATACGCGCAAGACCGTGGACGTCGCCGTGGCGATCTACGAGTGCGAGTCGACGGGCGGCGCGGAGTGGGTGTTGGAGGACACGATAGAGCTTCGTCGCGTGCGCATCCCCGCCGCCGCCGACGTCAGACACGACGTCGACCTCAACTTCCTCTCGCGCTCGAAGCAGATGTCGATGGTGCGGTCGGTCGAGAACTTTGAGCGGCTCTTCCAGAGCCACGTCGCCGACTACGAGAAGGACAACCTGCACGAGTTCATCCACAAGACGCTCACGCGGCGGCTGTCCGTGCCCAGCATGGCGACGCTGCACAACATACGCAAGGCTGTGTTCGCCATCAAGGATCAGGGTGCGTCTAACGCGCGCGGGCGAGGGGGGCGAGGGTGGGGGGTTGTAGCATCGTTCATCATCATGCCACGTCGTCACCATTTTTGTCGTCACCAACCTTGTCGTCATCGTCCTTGTCGTCACCATCCTCGTCGTCACCATCCTCGTCGTCACCATCCACGTCGTCACCATCCTTGTCGTCACCATCCTTGTCGTCACCATCCTTGTCGTCACCATCCTTGTCGTCACCATCCTTGTCGTCACCATCCGGTGACGACAAGGATGGTAACGACAAGGATAGTTACGACGAGGATGGTGACGGCAAGGATGGTGACGACGAGGATGGTGACGACAAGGATGGTAACGACAAGGATAGTTACGACGAGGATGGTGACGACAAGGATGGTGACGACGAGGATGGTGACGACAAGGATGGTGACGACGAGGATGGTGACGACAAGGAAGGTGACGACAAGGACGGTGACGACAAAGACGGTGACGACGAGGATGGTGACGACAAGGATGGTGACGACGAGGATGGTGACGACAAGTCCACGTCGTCACCATCCTTGTCGTCACCATCCTTGTCGTCACCATCCTCGTCGTCACCATCCTTGTCGTCACCATCCTTGTCGTCACCATCCTCGTCGTCACCATCCTTGTCGTCACCATACTCGTCGTCACCATCCTCGTCGTCACCATCCTTGTCGTCACCATCCTTGTCGTCACCGTCCTTGTCGTCACCGTCCTTGTCGTCCCCATCCTTGTCGTCACCATCCTTGTCGTTCTCCGCATTGTCATCGTGTCATGTTAATGTCCGTGTAAATACTGCTCAGAACATGCGCAGGGAGGGCTGCACACGCAGAGATGATGCTTTCACACTCCACGATAGTGTCTGTCTGCGATGGCTTCCCTATTCTTTAGGCTATGCTCTCTTTTTGTATCAACACGTCGCGTACATAGCGTGGCGCTGGTCTCGTATCGTGTCGGCTCCTGTTCCGGCGAGGTGTGTTAGACGCAGCGTGTTGCGTGTGTTTCAGGTTTGCTGTTGCAGTCGTAGCGTGGCATTAAGTGCGCGAGTCTCTTCTCGAATCGTGTCTTAGAGGCAGCGTGTTGCGTGTGTTTCAGGGTTGCTGTTGCAGTCGTAGCGTGGCATTAAGTGCGCGAGTCACTTCTCGAATCGTGTCTTAGACGCAGCGTGTTGCGTGTGTTTCAGGTTTGCTGTTGCATTCGTAGCGTGGCATTAAGTGCGCGAATCTCTTCTCGAATCGTGTCTTAGAGGCAGCGTGTTGCGTGTGTTTCAGGTTTGCTGTTGCAGTCGTAGCGTGGCATTAAGTGCGCGAGTCACTTCTCGAATCGTGTGTTAGACGCAGCGTGTTGCGTGTGTTTCAGGCCTGCTACAGCAGAAGTGTTGTGTGCAGCTGGACTGGGTGTCGACCGAAGATGGCTCCCACATCCTGTGCGTCGGCGTTGGTAACGAGATCAACCTGTACGCTCCCGTGTCGAGCGAGATAGCGACCGCCAACATGCGAGCGATGCAGGTGAGCTCCTCGCTAATTAACGAGTTACTAACGAGCTACCAGGTGCTACGAGTTAGCAGGTGAAGTGGCTGGCGCAAATCCAACGTAGATTTCAACGAAAGGCGGACGATTGTATATTTTTCGGGCTGTAGTTTTTTGGCTGACGATTTCCTCTGCTGAATTTAAATTAGTTTCAAAAAAAAAATTTTGAAAGTACAACTATAAGCTTTCATAATATAATTATAAATAACTATATCTAATAATAACTTAACAATTAATAATTGTTAATAATTAAGGTTTCAATCAGCCTCATATACAATACATATATACTATTGTATATGTTACGTATTACATACTATTATAATGTGGTATACAGGAGAAGAATGTGAGTGTGCAGCAGAAGCCACGGCCCATGCTGCAGCGATCTAGCTCTGTCGCTGCTCAGAACTACACGTCGGTCGACGTCATACACTGGATGAGGCTGCACACGATCGGCCTGACGACCGCCGACGGTCTCCCGCCGCTCCCCATGGCTATGTCGTTCGTCAGGGACGGTCTACTCGTAGTCGGCATGGACAACGAGATGCAGGTATAGCCCCTAGACTGCCGCCGCGACTTTTCCTCGGTCGCGAGATGTGTTTGTTGGTGTTGCACGTGAGTTAGTAATAGGGTTGATTCAGCAAGAAGGAAGCGGGGGATATTCATTATATTATAATAACGAATTTTTGGATCGCGATGCAATCGTGCGTGTGTTGCCGTGGCAACCGCGATGTGTCGTGCGTTAGTTAGTGGTAGGATTGATTCGGTAAAAAGCAAACCGGGGAATGTTACGTTACTTGATCTCATCACTGCGCGTGTTTTGGACTGAGGTTCTGTTTGAGGGCTGTTTTTGGGGGAAGGTTGGATGTATATCTGCTATAAATATGCAGGTTTTGTCAGATTAAATGCTGTGAGTGTTGAACGTGTGAGATTTTCGGAATAACGTGAACGCAGTGATTGGTTCCAGGATTGTTAATTTATCGATTAATTTCGATGTATTTGTAATGAATTTAGGGGCATTAAGAACATGTTATAATGAGTGATTATTTACAGGTGTTTTCACAATGGAAACCAGAAGATCAAACTCAGGCATCCTTAGAAATGGAAACTCACAAATTAGATGACCATGTTGATATCAAGTAAGAGAGCAAGTCTATATTTATAATTATGTGTTTATTATTTTATCACGTAGTTATTTATATATACCTCTCACTGTATAGTTATCATTTTATTTTTATTGATTAGTTTCATGATATTGCAGAGTTACGTATGTGTACCTCTCACTGTATATATGTATATGTGTTTATTCTTTTATCACATAGTTATTTATGTATAGTTATCATATTATTAGTATTTATTAGTATTATCATATTGCAGAGTTACGTATGTGTACCTCTCACTGTATGTATGTATATATAAATTATATATATACATTATATACATATACATATACATACACACACATATATATACACATACACCTACACATACATATATATACACATACACCTACACATACATATATATATACATTATATACATACACACACATATATACACATATAATATACACATACACCTACACATACATATATATATATGTATAATGTGTCTTGGCAGGAGTGTGACCACCACCAGCTTTCAATCAGCGATGTCGAGTCGCACTAACTCTGTACTGAAGCTGAGCAGCATGGTGGGAAGCAGCAGCGGCAGCAGCGGCGGCGACGCACGCAGGAAGAAGCGATGCGGGGTGCGGGGTGGGACGGATGCGGGAGGCGGGGCGTCTGCGCCCGCCTCGCAGGACCGTGGGCTGTTGAGGCGCGCGTCTCAGCGAGCCCCGTCCTGTCCATCATACACCCGAAACACGACCGCTCATCGAACTACTCAACTGCGGCAAATCAGTCGGCTGATCAATGCTGTAAATCGATGCTGTGTGTGTGTGTGGGATCAACACTACGAACCTTGATCGATACACGTATCAAATTACTTTGATTGTATTCACGAGTATGCAATACGTTTGAATTTTCACGTATCAATCCGTTGATTATTCATCGATACACGTATCAAAAGTACATTTGAAAACTATTAACGATACAGCCGTATGCAATACGTCTTGAGCTATACCGATACACGTATCAATACGTTTGAGCTATTACGCGATACCGTATCAATTATACGTTTGACTATTAACGATACCAGCTTATCAAATACGATTTTGACTATTACCGCAGGAACTCAACCAACGGTATCAGATACGTTTTGATTATTAAACGAGTATACATCGTATCAATAAAACGTCCCTGACCAATCTTCCGACCATGTAGCTCGTAGGGCCAACGTATAGCGGCTAGTGCCTAAGCTTTGTATAAAGCATACAATAAGGAGATCCAGTTTGATTGACGTTAATCCAGCCCAGAGCAAAACGGATAGGCAGACATGTCTCAAAGCTCCATCCTACAAGAAAACATCAAGAGGAACGATAGAAATATTCGTTACACACGAAAATGTTGTGAAGACAATTGTTGACGATTTATTGGAAGTGTGCTGGTGTTTGAGTCGGTGAGGATAGCAGCAAGCACGCGAAGTCGACTGCACATGATGATAATAAATATCACTAGCAATAATCATGCGAGACAGAACAGCGGAATGATGCTGGTTATTAAGTGATGTCACATGCATCCGTTGGCTTGGTATCAAAATCCATCAATGCGATTCATAAGAAAAAAGAAAAATTCTTGTTTGTGTTAAAACTTGAACACAAAACTGAAAAGTGATAGAATCAGGAGATATCATCGCTACTATACAAGATCCTTTACTTAACATACATGTATATACACACAGTTAGTAAAGCATCGCAAAACAAACAGTAAAGAGGGCTAACAACACATACATGCATCACACGCG